CCCTTTAATATTTGATGATGATGATGATGTATAAATGCTTCCTGTCGTTTGTGAATTAATTGGGGGGGGGGGAGAGATGTCAATAAGGAGAGGAGCTTCATCCGAAGCTTTTCCAGCCCTCTCTAGACATTAATGGACTGGGATGCAGAGGGGAAAATACAAATACACACAAACACACACACACATGCACACCTATCTTCCTCTCCCTTTAACTCTTTCCTGTGTTGGGCCTTCCCTGCCCAGCAGAGACTCCAAAGCAATGTTTTTCAACTTTCTGCTAGGTATAAATGGAAGTCAAATTCTATTATAATAGCCCGAGCCCGTGTTTTTCAAACTTGGCAACTTTTGAGATGGGTGGACTACAACTCCCAGAATTCCCCAGCCAGCCTGCTTTAAGATGGGTGGACTACGACTTCCAGAATTCCCCAGCCAGCATCCTTTAAGATGAATGGACTTCAATTGCCAGTACTCCCCCAGCTAGCATGCTTTAAGGCGGGCTTCAACTCCCAGAATCCCCTAGCCAGCGTGCTTTACGATGGGTGGACTTCAACTCCCAGCATGCTTTGCACCAAATGCCACTGTCTGGAGACCCGTTACATTTAATGCACCTCACGTATTTCCAGCCTCTCTCGATTTGCTCTGCAAGCCAGCAAATCCTTGCGGTAGGGTGCTAGTCCTTATGAAAGCCAGCATTTGTATTCTTATTTTTTTTCGGCCTACAATCTTTGAGCAGAACCACCAGTTTCAATCCTCGCTGGTTTGTGCAGGAACCAAATTGCAGAAAAGTCCCAAAGGGAGGTGCAAGTCCAAGAACTCATGCAGAGAAGCACCTTTATACAAGGGGGGGAGGGGGCTTTTTCTCCCCCCCCCATCCTTCAGAGAGGCCCCACCATACTGTTAGCCAGCTCACCTGGTGACCTGGGTCCTGGTGCCGAAGTCGAGGGCCCGCATGGACTGCAGCACTTCCACGCAACCCATGTACTGCGGGGACGAGAAGAAGAGCAGAGATTAATACCGGGATCTTCCAACTTCGCCCTTTTTAAGACTTGTGGACTTCAACTCCCAGAATTCCTCAGACAGGCGTGCACGCCTGTCTGAGGAATTCTGGGAGTTGAAGTCCGCAGGTCTTAAAAGTTGCCAAGTGTGAAGACCCCCTGGATTAAAATAAACGCCAAGGAAATCAGCGTGTGGCTCTTTTACTTTGTTTTTCTTTATTTACATATTCCAACTTTATTATTTTTTACAAATAAGTCCAGGTGGCAAACATCTCCAACACCTCCACCTCCTCCTCCTCCTCCTCCTCTTTTCCCCACCACAGCCCTGTGAGGTGGGCTGGCTTGAAAGAGAGTTACTGGGCCAAGATCATCCAGCTGGCTTTCATGTCTAAGGCGGGACTTGAACTCACCGTCTCCTGGGGATTGGCCCAAAGTCACCCAGGGGGCCAAGGCAGGACTTGAACTCACGTTCTCCCGCTTTCTAGCCTGATGCCTTAGGCTTTCCTGCCTGAGCAGGGGGTTGGACTAGATGACCTCCAAGGTCCCTTCCAACTTTATTATTATTATGTTTCCTCAAGACATGGCTTTTCCAGCAAGCGGGCCTGACCTAGGGAGGATTTTACTTAGGGATGATTTTAAGAATAATTTTAATTGGAAATACAGCTTCTAATATTTGGTTTTTAATTTGGTTTTATAGGGGTTTATATTTTTTGTATTTTGTATCTGTACTTGTTTTTAATATGCTGTGCACCGCCCTGAGTCCTGCGGGANATTATTATTATTATTATTATTATACTTAACAACCGGGTCACAAGCTTAAGAACGGCAGGGATTCGCTGAACCAGGTGGCGAGAACAGCCGTCAAAACTCGCTTAAACAAATGTCTCACTTAGTGACATACAATTTGGGCGCCTTCACGGTCATAAAACGAGGACTGCCTGTATCTACAGCGTGGCGGGGAAACCTCCCTTCCAGAGCGTGTTTGCAACCCCTCGCCGACCCTTCCCCATTCGCTTGGCCCCCTAAGTGTACAAACCTTGCCCAGGTACCCGCCCCCCTCTTCCTCACTCACCCGGACCAGGTAGGAGACTCCGGAACCCATCACCTTGTCGTCCCGGTGCAGCCAACCCCGGCTGGGCTTGTTCACGAAACTCCCGTGCCGCGTCCACTCCTCGCCGCCCAGCTGGCCGCCTTCCACTCGCATCTTCTTCCCGCAACTCAGCTTGTTCATATCCTGGGGACAGAGACCGACAACGCCCGTTGAGTCCGGCGAGGCGGAGGCGGCACCCCCCGGAGGGTCTTCGGAGACCCCCGTCTCTCGGGAAAAGGCCCGGAGGGTCAGCAAGGAAGCCGGGTTGGAGAGTTTCAGGTTAGCCATTTTGGGGAAGAAGGAGCAGAGCGTGGTGGGGCTGGCCTCCGATTCGGGGTCCCCCGAAGGCAGCATGGGGCTGAGGGACGAGGAGGACAGAGAGCCGGTCAGCAACGGGGTAGGATCGGGAGAGGGGACCCCGTCGGCCACGGGGGTCCCGTCGTCCAGCGAAGGCGGAGATTCATCCTGCAAGTGGGTGTATTTGCTTTTCGGCAGGAGATCCATATCTGGGGGTGGGGGGGCTGCAGGCTGGCGGAGGAAGAGGAGGCAAGCGCGATGGTGATGGGGGTCAAGACCCCCCCAAAAGTCCCAACCAATCCCAAGCTGGCGCCTGGTCAAGTCCCCGCTGGCGTGCCGGGAACTGGGCCCGTCTGCCGGGTCCCTGCTTCTCCCCTCTCTGCCCCGCCGCGGACACCAGGGACGCCCCCAAATTGGGGCACCCCTTCCCCAAATTCAGCAAGCCGCCGTCTTAACCCAACTGGGACCAGTTATCCATCCCATCCGATGACCGGTAAGCCCCACGCAGGTCCGGAGAGGAAGATGAGGCGGTTTCTACAGTCTACAGTCCCTGTAGGGCTGCTTCAGAAACTCCCGCCGCGCCACCTGTGGGACTTCTGCCTGTCTCCAGCCCTGGAGAGGAAGAGGACGAAGTTTCTAGTCCGGGGCTGACGCTACACCCCCCTGCAGGGCTGTGTTAGACGCTCCTGGCCCTTCCCTCGCGCTGCAGCACCGCCTGTTGAACTTCTGCCTGCCTCGGCTGCCCTTCCAACACCCGCCAGGTCCTTATTCAGATGCTCAGCTCCAACGGAGGCGTCTTTTGCTCTGGATCGGAGGGACCGGGTCGATATCCGTGCCGAGGGGAGGGGGCATCAAACGCCTCCAACGCAAAGGAGGGGGTGGCAGCAGGGGGAGGGACGGCTGGCAGCCCCCCACCCCCCCAGGCAGCCCCCCAGGCTCCCTGTCAAAGCAGGGCAGGCCGGGTGCCCATCAGGAGGGGAGGCGATGCCGATGTGTCCCCGGAGACAATTTGAGGAGGGTTGGGGGGGCTCAGCCTCAGAAAGCCCAGGAGGGGGGGTCCAGTTGGGGTCCCCTTTGGATGAGTGGGGGGGGCAGCGGTTGGCAGTGTCGCCCTCTCTCCTTGCTTGCAGTGCCCGCGCTCCGGCTTGGCTTTGCAGCGCAGCAACGGCTGGGATCTGGCTGGAAAAATCCTCTCCCTCTCCCAGGGAAGGCGGGGAAGGGGAAGGGCAGAGGCAGAGGCCAAGCCCCCTCCTCTCTTCCCCCCCCCCAGGCCTGGTCACTCGCTGCTACCAAGGGGAAGGGCAGGGTGCTGACTCACACCAGCCCGGCCTCGCCTGCTGCAGCCAGGAAGGGGGGCAAGGGATGCGGGCGAGGGGAGGGGAGGCTAGGAAGGGGATGAGGCCGGAAAAAGGGGGGGGCAAGGCCACTTAGGTCGCCCAGGCAGGGCCTGGGTCAGGGGGGGCAGCTGGGGGGGACAAGCCGGGGAGGAGGGGTAAGGAGGGAGGGTGGTCTGTGCCAAAAGGGGTTTGCAAAGGCGCCTGCATGATGAAGACACTAGGCGTCCTGCGGGGGTCTTTTGCTCATTCAAGGAATCGCCCATCCCTCAGTTCCCTTGCAATCGAGGGAGGGGTGCGACCCCCCCCCCCGCAAGGGAGGCCAGGAAGGAAGGAAAGCAAAGGGAGGGAGGGAAGGAGGGAGAGAGGAAGGAGGTTGAAGGAAAAGTTAGATGAGAGGGGAGATAGATAGATAGACAGACAGACAGACAGACAGACAGACAGACAGACAGACAGACAGATGATAGAGGGATAGATAGATAATGATGGATGGACAGTCAAGGAAGGAAGGAAGGAAGGAAGGAAGGAAGGAAGGAAGGAAGGAAGGAAGGAAAGCAAAGGGAGGGAGGGAGGGAGGAGGTTGAAGGAAAAGTTAGATGAGAGGGGAGATAGATAGATAGACAGACAGACAGATGGATAAATAGATGATAGATGATAGATAGGAGATAGATAGATGATAGATAGATGATAGATAGATAGATAGATAGATAGATAGATAGATAGATAGATGACAGACAGACAGATGATAGAGGGATAGATAGATGATAGATGGACAGTCAAGGAAGGAAGGAAGGAAGGAAGGAAGGAAGGAAGGAAGGAAGGAAGGAAGGAAGGAAGGAAGGAAGGAAGGAAAGCAAAGGGAGGGAGGGAGAGAGGAAGGAGGTTGAAGGAAAAGTTAGATGAGAGGGGAGATAGACAGACAGACAGATGGATAAATAGATGATAGATGATGGATAGATGGATAGATAGATAGATAGATAGATAGATAGATAGATAGATAGATGCTGCAACTCCAGTCACTAAACACAGGGTTTGTCAGCCGAGGATTACCTGTACAACATTGTGTAATTGCCAGGTGTTGTGCAGCGGCTGCTTGCTGTTGTTATTTCAACCAGCCGTTATTTGCAAAGCAGAGGCATCGACAGAGTTTCCTGAACGGCCTTGTTGATTAACCACAAGGTCTGCTTTTCGCATAAGGTGCGGTATAAAAGACAACAACCACATTTCGGGGTGGAGAGGAGGAGGAGGAGGAGGAGGAGGAGAAGAAGAGCCCAAAGCCGTCAGGAAGCCCAAAAGCGGAGCTGAAATCCAGAGCAGGCAGCCCGGTGCCCCTCCCCCAAACCGCTAAACTCTCCATGGAGGCTTCAAACGGGGGGGGGGGGCTGAAATGCCTGACCTCCCCCTCTCTCCCCCCCCCTCCGAGGGCTCCCGGCCAGCGTGCTTTAAGAGGGGTGGACTTCAACTCCCAGAATCCCCCAGCCAGAATATTTCCGACTCTTGTTATTCGGAGCAGGGGGTTGGACTAGAAGACCTCCGAGGTCCCTTTCAACTGTTACTCTGTATTCGGAGCAGGGGGTTGGACTAGAAGACCTCCGAGGTCCCTCCCAACTCTATTATTCTTTATTCTAGGCAGGGGGTTAGACTAGAAGACCCCGCCCAGGTCCCCTCCAGCTCTGTTATCCTATATTCTTCTGCACCAACTACTTTTGCTGGACAGCCAGGAGTTGCTGGAGACGGAGGCCATTTCCTGGACAGTCCGTGTCCGGCCGTGGGTGGGCAGAGCCGAAGCGCCCCCCTCCCTTGTTTGTTCCTTCCTCTGGGGAGGGAGGGTCAGCAAAAACACCCACCTGGGCAAGGCCGAAAGAGGGAAAAATAACAAACCAAAGAGAGGAAGGAGTGGGATGACCGTTTGGCTCCGGGCCTTCCCACCGGATGCTCTGCTTGGCTTTTATGACCCAGCTGAAGGACCCAAGGAGGGATGGGAAGAGGGGGCAGGAAATCACACACACACACACACATGGAAACCCTGCCCGCAGCCCCCCACTTCCTTGGGAGCTGGGGAAGAACAGGGTCCAATGGTTACAAGCGCCTTTATACCCAAAAAGTTTGGATTTTGCACCCAGGGATCCAGCCTCCCTCAAACTGCAGCATTGGAAAACCGACAAAATTCACAGTTCTCAACCAATGACGGATTTCGACAATCTCCAGAAATAACTAAAACAGATCGGGTTTTTTTAAGCTGGTCAAATCTAAAGCAGGGTTTTCTCAAAGTTGGTGGCTGTAAAGATGGGTGGACTTCAACTCCCAGAATCCCCCACCCAGCAGGCTTTAGGCTGATGGACTTCAACTCCCAGAATCCCCCCAAGCCAGCATTATATTTAATATCTCTCACTTGAGGAGCCAGTCTATTTCCAGCATCTATTTATTTGCAAAATCTGTGGCTGTAGGGTGCTAGTCCTCGTGAAACCCACCCCACCCCACCCCACCCCTCCCCTCCCCTGGTATCTTTGAGCAGTCTTGGCCGCATTGCAGAATAAGCCAAGTCACGAAACAGCCAACAGATTCACCGCACAGCAAAAAATATTTGCCCTGTCCTAGCGGGTGTGACAATTATACAGCAACAGAGCTATATCCGGCTGGATTCCTGGGCGTTCTCGGCTTTTCTATTTCCTCCTGCACAAAGGTCCCTTTTCATAGCCCCGTGGCTGGCAGTCATCCAACAGGTGAAGCTTCCTGGCTTGTACAAAACCGCGACACGTAAAAAATGTTAGCGGCGTGCGGGGGGGGGAGACGGGAAACCTGTCTGTCTGGGTCCGGCAGGGCAATCTGGAGTACGCCATCAACTGACAGCTGCGTAACAAGCTGCCTTCTGCCTCTTCCGATGGTCTCGTGCTAAGCCGTGGCTTGTTTCGAGGAAACAAACCACGGTTCAGCTGCGTTCTCCGGAAAGGCAGAGCTCTTGTAGCTGGGATAGGAAACGAAACAGGCCGTCCCCAAAGTTGCTCAAACTCAGCAACCTTTTAAAAAGATGGGGTGGACTTCAACTCCCAGAATTCCCCAAGCTGGGAACGGAAGCCCACGCCACGCTCAGATCTCTCAGGAAGAGCCGAGAAAGAAGGGAAGAAGAACAGCTGAGCCCAGCACCAGAGCAGGGAGAGAGAAGGGTCCCACCCCTTACCGTGTACTCCATCACGGATGCCGGAGGTCTGTCCTTCGCTGGGGGCCAAACCTGCAGTTTGGTGACAAAGAAGGAATTAGGGAGGGGCTGTGCAGCATTTTGGGGAGGGGGGCGATATTGCCTTTTCCCTGTGCGTTTCCCTAAATCAGGGCTTCTCAATCTTGGGGACTTGAAGAGGGCTGGACTTCAACTCCCAGAATTCCCCAGCCACCAGGCTTTAAGATGGGTGGGCTTCAACTCCCAGAATCCCCCAGTCAGCAGAGGCTTTAAGATGGGTGGGCTTCAACTCCCAGAATCCCCCAGCCACCAGGCTTTAAGATGGGTGGGCTTCAACTCCCAGAATCCCCCAGCCACCAGGCTTTAAGATGGGTGGGCTTCAACTCCCAGAATCCCCCAGTCAGCATGATCTAAAGGGGATGGACTTCAAACGCCCGGAATTCCACAGCGAGATGTAAGGACTTCGAGTCCCAGAATTCTCCAGCCAGCAGGCTTTAAAGTGGATGGACTTCAGCTCCCAGAATTCCCCGGTCGCTCCTGCTAGAATAGCTCAGCTCCTTTTTCCAATGGGGCCAAGCAGAGGCAGGCAAGGCCAACGGGGACCGTTGGCTGCCAAGAACCACGGAGCCTCCATGTGCCAAGGCAGTCTATCTCCAAAGAGCAGCCGGACAAGGCAGGAGCGGTTGGAAGCTTTCAAAAACCTCAGAGACTAAGGATGGGTTAGGGCTTTTGGGGGGACGGGGGCAATTTTGATCTAAAGGAGAGTTTTAGGGGCTCTTACCCACACAGCTGAGCTATATAAATTTAGATTTTGCTGACAAAGAGTTAAAGGGGGGAGACTAGTATAGCTATTTCAAGCTATTTGGCTCTCATCAGCTATATGTATCCAAATTTCTTTTTCTGACAAAGAGTTAAAGAATTAAATCGGGAGACTTAAGACGGCCATTTCTAGCTTGTTCTGCTTTCATCAGTTAGCCATACCCTTTATGGGATTTGAACCTGGGCAGTTTACATACTAGGCAGTGATTTAACCACCAAGCCACAGGCTCTCCTCCCCTCTTTGCCAGCATATATATGTATGTATAATTCTCCGATTTCTCCCTCAGTTCCTGAACTAAAGCCGCCAACAACGTCCCAAAGTCTTCCAAAGCAGCATCTAAATTTTGCTTGTGCAATAGGGTTCAAAGTCCCCCCACCCCAGGAAAGATTTCAGCCCTGCCAAAACAAAGCCAGCTTGGGAAGCCTGTTTGCAGAGCCTCCAAAGGCAGGGGCACTCTATCTGACAACTGTCCAAGAAGGACGAATGGATGTTTTTACTCCCAAACAGGAGGGGGGGGGGAGAAAGTTGATTTTCTGCACACCTCAGTCTCTGCTCATTCCTATTCCTCTTCCTCCTCCTTCTCGGTGGCTTCTGAGCCGGGACAGAGAACCCACAATTTTGGGATGGAGACCCAGGAAACAGACCCCATCCCACCCCACTCTTTTTTAGCCACAAACACTGCCACAAATTCTTTACTTGCGGAAACCCGCCTGCAAAGCAGCGGAATTGCATTTCCTTGGGAAGATATGCTTGTCCAGCCAACAGAAACGTGGCACTTTTCCCTCCCTTCCAAGACTCTGCAGGAATAAGAGAGGCTCAAGCCAACGGGGACCCTCCCTCATCCGAGGAATTTCAAGGGTCCCATCCTGCGAGTCTCCAGCCCAGAAAGGTGAGGAAGGGGAGGGTCCAGCTTGAGTGACACGAGCCCACCGTCCCTCTGGGCCAATTTCAGAGTGAGACAACCGAGGCACACACGTACGTACGAACGTACACGTGTGCCAATTGCAAGGACAGGAGAGAGAGGGGGGAAAAAATTACAGAGATTTATTTAACTTTTCTGGCAAAGCCTTCTCTCTTTTTTTTTCCTAAGGGGGAGGGGAGAAAAGAAACTTAAAAACTGACCTGCAAAAGAGGATGGTGTAATCCTTGCTACTCCCCTTTTTTCTGGTGGGCCGCTCCAGTTTTTTTTTTTTTTTTTTTTTAAAAGCTATGAAATTTGAGAATTGAGATCCCTCCTTCTTTAAGGGGTGGGATGAAGCAGACTTTGCAGCCTGCCCCAGACGGATTCCAGATGGGGAAGGGCCCGGTCTGCGGGCTGCATTTGTCGCTCTCTCGAAGGGGGCAGCTGGAGAGCAAAAAATACGACAGCGGGACACACTTTTTTGTGTGTGTGTGTGTGCACAGAAAAGTCACAACCAGCTTGGGCTGAGGAAATCAGCCCCGCTGAATCCTGAATGAAGCATCTCGGGTTTGGAAACGAAGCCAGGAAACCTGGGCTTACGAGCGACACAGAGAGCCCCCCCCCCCCAAACTGAAGCAGAGCATGCAAAACATGGTGCAGTTCACCAAAACTGGAGAGAAACAGAGTCGCTTTGGATAGGAGATGGGCAGCATGTCGATTTAATAAAGAAATAACCGTGCCCCCAAGCTTTGCCAGATCAAGCCTCGCAGCAAATCGATTTAGTAAAGAAATAACCCCGGCTCCCCAAACTTTGCAGTGCCAAGGCTCGCTCAGAGACAGACAAACCTAATGCAGCGGTTTCTAAGTGTTAAAAGTGAATGCAATTCAACGCGATCCCCCCCACCCCTCTTTCAAAACTGTCCAGCTATGGAGGCCACCCTCCCCCCCCCCAAAAAAAAACCCCTCCTAGAGAGGATTCCAGAGACCATCTTCCACCTCTAACGGGCCCGGCACTTAGAAGCAAGCCGCTCTGTTTCAGGATTTATGGGACCTTTTGTGCAATACCCTCCGGGCGATGGTGGCGAGTTGCGTTCCCGTTTTGGACGCCTCTCCTTCCCTCCCCCCTCGCTCCTTCCTGATGGATTTTCGTCCCATCCCCGGCGCCCCAAAAGCGGAGCCGGTTCCCCCTCTTTTTTCCCCGCTCTTTTGGGCTCCAGGAAATCGCAGGGAGAGCCCTGGAAGAGCGCTGCCCGTCGGCCCTGCGGAACTCCGGGGAGAAGAAGGAGCCCTTTAAAAAGAGGGAAGCGCTGAGCGCGGCTGGGAACTAGAGGCCGCGCGCGGACGTCTCTGGCGCGGTCTTCCCTCTGGTCCGTCTGTCTCCTTTCTCCCCCCCCCCTCTATAGTACTCTTCCTCTTTTCTCATTCTCTCCCATGTCTTTCTCTGTACCTTTCTCCGTCTTTTCTCTCTCTTAGCACTCTCGTCTCTCTCTAGATATATGTATATATCTCGGAATAGTCTGCCTTCTGGTCCGGCAAGACACTTTTCTCTCTCTCTCACCCCCATCTCACATTCCTCCCCTGCCCCGTCACCCAGAGGGGAGGAAAGGGGGGGACCGGGCATTGTCAGTCTCTGAGTAAGAGATTAGTAACAGGCTTCGATTACAAAACAGCGTTGAGACACCTCGGGAATCTTGCAGCGGCGCTTCCTCGGAACACGAGGGGAAGGGGAGGGGACGGGTTTTCGGGGGGGGGGAGAAACACGCCACCAGCGCTTTCGACACTCGGGACAAATTCTGCTCTGAAGCTCAACGCAGACTCTCCTGCAAAGGAGCCCGACACGGGGGGGGGGGGGAAAGGATCCACAGACACCACCGAATTCTCACGAAGCGGCAGTCCGCCTTTTCCGCGCGTCTCCAAAGGCGCCTCTCCCCGAGAGAGGGAGGAGACTGCGGACGGAGGAATCCCCGCCTGATCCCTACCCCGCAAGGAAGGGATATTTTAAAAATAGTGCGGATAAAACGAACACCGCAGGGCCAAAGAAAGAGCGCCCGGGCTAAGCAAAAGCCGCCCTTGCAGGGCTGTTGTGCAGCTTCTAAGAGACCCCACCCAGCTTCCGCGATGTGTATTTTGCAAAGTTACGGCGGCGCCCGATTCAACGGACTGCCCGGTGCAGCGTCGTTAAAAAAGGTGGTGGGACTCGACCCCCTTCTTACCGAGGCGGCCGTAGCATTGGGGTGCAAAGGCGGCAGACTGCAGCTGCTCCGACGGCGCCTCTCGGACAAACTTCTGGGCTCTCGGAGCCCTGCCCCGCCCGTTTCCCTCCACCAATCATTTCCGGGTTCCGTCCCGCCTTTGAAGGCGGGGCTCCCAGGTCGCCCGCGTTACCGCCCCTTCCCTTAGCTTCCGGCGGGGACACTCTTGCCATAGGACTCGCTCCCCACTCCCCCCCGCCCGGTGTCAACTGGGACCCACTGCTCCATTTATTCCCACAGGGCGGGATGGGAAGGAAACCACGGGAATAAGGGAGCGAAATGAAAGACCACCAAACGACTTCAGTATTGTTTTAAAACGGGAGTGCAGCGCTCAATAAAATTCCCATTCAATTTCGTCGTAGTCTTCACTTTGGTCCTCGAGCGACGCAACTTCTTTCTTCTCAAAGGCGCAGAGGAGTTCCCCTCAGAAACGGCTTCGCTGGGCCTTCCGTCATCAGCTCGCCGATTTTCGCCTCAACTTCTTCCTTTTCCAGGTTCTTCGGACTTCAAGCTCTTCACCTCACCCTCTTCCTTCCAGCTCTCCGGCGGGCTGAGTGAAAGCGTCGTTCCTCCGCTGTCTCCTTTTATACTTTCCCGCCAAAGCAGCTCTCAACCCGATTGGTTAACGCATCCATTAGGCTTACCTTTTCATTGGCTCCTGGTATGGCTGTTTTATAGGCTCCCCGCAGTGACTCAGAGGCCAATCAGCATGCAAGGCACACCTGGGGGAAGCTCCTCATTGGTTGAAAACGAGACAGCTCTAATCCTTTACCTGAGATCCCGAACCTTTTTTAATTTTATCTATGTATGAAATTTATACATATATTTATATATACAAATTTATACATATATAAAATTAGATATAAAGATATATGTAGATATAGATATAGATAGATACCGATAGATAGATTAGATAGATAGATATAGAGAATTTAAAAAGCAAAAATGAATTTTATAGGTTCAACTATCTATAAAATAATCAGGCTAATTGGAAGAATGGGATATGTAGTCCCCTGACAAGAGAAAGGGAGGTTGGAGAACGGGAATGATGGGACTTGTAGTTTGACACACACACAGAATGGAGTTTGGCAGGGCTGAGGTAATTCCCAGCACAGTCAATCAGGTTCCGCCACGTCTACTGGAGCGCCCGCCCTCAATCCCTTCCGTCCAATCAGCGTCGAAGGCGGCGCCTTTTGAAAAGCGGCGGTTCGGAGGACTAAGCGAGGGAAAAACCGAGATAGGGGCGCATGCGCAGTGACGGTGGGCGCCTCCCCCTTCCCGTCTTCCTCCAACAGGCGCCGGCGAGCGCGGGGATTCGGACGCCGCGGGGGCCGCCGGGAAACGCCGAGCAGCGCCCCGAGGGAGCGAGCCAGAGGCCGCCGGCCGCCCCGCGATCGCCTTCCCGATCATGACGCACAAGCAGATCTACTATTCGGACAAATACGACGACGAGGAGTTCGAATACCGGTGAGAGGGGGCGGACCCTGGCGTGACGGGCAGGCGCGGGGAGGCGGGACCTGGAGGTTTCCGCGGCGACGACACGTGAGGGGGCGGGGCTTAGGGCACGTCGGGGCGGGGCTGAAGGCAGCTGGAGTCTGATTTATTATTGTTATTGTTTAATATATATATATATTTGCCTTTTTGTTTCAATTTTTTATTTTTATTCAACCATTTGAAATGCAGACTCCCCCCCCAAAAAAGCAATAATAATAGGTTAAAAAAGTTACTCTGTTAAGATCTATTTTGTAGAGTTAAAGTATGTGTGGATGAGACCTGATGGTAGTATATTTGGGTAATGTTATTTAATTTATGATTTTGTTTTTATAACCCTGTAACCAGCCCTGGGAAGTGAAAGGGGGAGGGGGGAGGGAAGTGGGATATCGTATGTAAAATTATTTAAAACTTTTAGTAAAAAAAAAAGTGCATTAAAAAAAGTAACATATTGTATTTTTAGCCTTTTTTAACAGAAAAAAATAAGGGGGGAAAAATTCCTAATTTTGTACGCCTCCCGGAAATCTCCTAGAGTTGGGCAGTCGATAAATTTAAACGAATTTAACCTGATTAGATAGTTTATCGAATTTTAATCCTGACTCTTTTTTTAAAAAAAAATCCTGACTCTTTATTGCTTTATTGATGGGGGGGGAAGGAAAAAAAACAACACTCCCTGCTTCAACTCTTTGAAAAGTCTTCCAGGAAACTTGTCCTTCTCAAAAAAAGGGAAAAAAACAGCCGTCATCTGTTTGGCAGTGATTTGGACTCCATCTCCCATGGTTCCCAGCCTTTGGCTGAGGCTGATGGGAGTGGAGGCATGGGAACCCTGACAGCAAGTCAGATTTGAGATTGTACGTGAGAGGGATTATCAAGAATCCAAAGAGGCAGCAGTTAAGAAGTGCTGGACAGGTTTGGTGGGACGACTACAAGTCCCATCACTCTGCGGGCTTTTCCTTTCCCCCTCTTGGAGCCCAGTGGGACTTTGTAGCTGGGGGTCCGACGTTTCCTGACATCTTGTTCCTTCTCTTCCCCCCCCGTGCCCCCCATGGCTCCTCTTGCAGGCACGTCATGCTGCCCAAGGACATCGCCAAACTGGTCCCCAAGACCCATCTCATGTCCGAGTCGGAGTGGCGGAACCTGGGTGTCCAACAGAGCCAGGGCTGGGTCCATTATATGATCCACGAACCAGGTAGGGTGGCAGCTGCTGAAAAAAACGATCTGGGGTTTGGGTCTAGACTAGGTCTCTGTGCAAAGTTGTCAATTTCGAGCGTCAGTTTTGGCGGTCAGTTTCAGGCGTCAGGGATGAGCCTGTCCCGAGGTTTAAAAAAATCCTTGGCTTTGAAGGCCTTCAGAAAAGAGAGAGCCATTGAGTGACTTGAATCATCTGTTAAGGCGCCAGTTTGGTCGAGTGGTTAAGCCACCAGCCTAGAAACCAGGAGACTGGGAGCTATAGTCCTGTCTTAGGCATGAAAGCTGGCTGACTGACTTTGGGCCAGTCACAAGGAGACGATGAGTTCTAGTCCTGCCTTAGGCATGATAGACAACTGGGTGACTTTGGGCCAATCAGCAGGAGACAGTGAGTTCTAGTCCCGCCTTAGGTGTAAAAGGAAGCTGAGTGACTTTGGGCCAATCACCAGGAGACGGTGAGTTCTAGTCCCACCTTAGCCATGAAAGCCGATTGGGTGTCTTTGGACCAATCACCAGGAGACGGGGAGTTCTAGTAGAACTCGGGAGAAGGGCGGGGTATAAATTAAAGTATTATTATTATTATTATTAGAAATACAAATAAATACAGTACAAATACAGTACAAAAAAAAATAAAAATAAGCGAATTATTCCAGGCTTGGCTGTGCCCAGCAGGACGTGATTCTGGATCACTCCGTCATTCGGGATCTGGTTATTTCCTGAATCTTCCCCGCGTAAAAACTGATGAGAGGGATTTTATTACATAAATGCAAAAAAAAAAAATGCCATTTTTTTTCCTTCTGCAGAGCCACACATTTTGCTCTTCCGAAGACCGCTGCCAAAGAAAATAGAAAAATGACACACGTCTGTCCTCTTCTATGTTTTCGATAGAAGCACCTTTTGGGAGAACAGCTGGTTCTCCATTTTAAAATTCCGAGAAATATTTTAAGATGCCGGTCCAGAAAACGCCGCTCGACATAACCAACACTGAAGCCGAGAAAAAACGGGTTTTCCCTGCAGTATTTTACCTGGCCAAAGCAATCTTCAAAAACTACAATAGCTTGACTATTTTTAATACTTTTTTATAATGGCTGAAAACTTGGTTCGCCCAAGGGGGGCCAAATTGTTGTGTGTGTTTTTTTAAATCTCTGGTCTTGGAAAACTTCGTTCTGCTGTGTTGTTCTTAAAATGTGCGTTTCCTTTTTAATCTTATTTTTCAACTTCTGCATTAGGGCTTTGAAAAGTTACTCAGGATACGCTTGTTCTTTGGCCTGTATTAATAAAGGGTCACCGTGTTAAGGGTCACTTCTGTCTTTGTCTAACCCAAATCAGTCACAGTTTTCTGTGCTGTTTAAACAACTCGTGCTTGTAACTCCGACACTGGAATAAGTTGGTGGAAGGGGGGAATCCTGTCAAAGATAACTGAAAATTATGAGAAAATAATCAAGCTGTTGGTGTAACTACATTGAGTTTAAATAACAATTTGAGTGGCACTGGTGCAAAGGTTTAAAGTCCATTCTGGACTTTAAACTTTGACCAAGTTGATATCTATCAATCAATAAATAAACATAGACAATATTTAGTCTTTTGCTTCAATGGACAAATCCAGCAACTTTGTGTAGTTACATCCATGTTGTAACCCCGATTTATAGTCAGTATATAACCTAATGTACTATTCAAGAAACATTCTGTACATTTTTTTTTAAACTACCAGGTCAAAGAAGCTACATTCTCCTTGTTTTTCTTGTGCTTACCTCTGTTTTTAAGCTTTCTTTCCTTTCAAAAAAAAAAATTATTAATGGAAGTGCTTTCTGTTAACTCGTGTTTACGCTGGCACCCATTTTCCTAAAATATTGTTTTAACTGCAGTTTAATTGCCTTGTATGTTTATTACATTGCCTGGGGATAGGGTTGGTTTTAAACAGCAGGGTGTAAACGGCTAATATCATGATTAATAGTTGAGTTTTCTTTGACCAACCAGGAAGAGACTTCCCGAGCTGATCCAAATAAAGTTTGTTTATATGAGGTTTGGATCGGTTTATTTCTGCTTTCGAAAGCGATCCGTAGGGTGAATGTAGATCACGTTTCCAATCCTGAAATCTAAGGTCGTTTAAATGTGTATGTATAATAATATTGTATATATCGTTGTTTAAGTATAACGTAAATAATATTGTTTAGGTATAGTCTCACATATGCAGCCCAGGGTAAAGGACCAGCCTTCTTGGCAGATTTAGGATTTTAAAATAGCATAGCATAAAACAGTGGTGGCGAACCTACGGCACGGGTGCCAGAGGCGGCACTCAGAGCCCACTCTGTGGGCACGCGTGCCGTCGCCCCAGTCCTAGGCCTTCAGCTGGGTTTTATAAAACCTTTTTGCTTTAGGCCTCCGCTGCCGTGTGCACAAAAAAAGGTTCAATCAATCAGTCAATTTCAACTTCTCGCGGGGAAAAAAAAGATCTTGCAAAGTTGGAATTGATTGATTGAACTATTTAGTCCCACCCAGTCTGCCGTTACCACCGTAGCCACGCCCAGCCAATGGGCCACACCCACCCGGCACCCGACGATGCATAAGTGGGTTTTGGGTTGCAGTTTGGGCACTCGGTCTCTAAAAGGTTCGCCATCACTGGCATAAAAGGAAAGATGGATGGGGAGGGAAGAGGATTTTTTAATAATAATAATAGTTGGAAGGGACCTTGGAGGTCATCTAGTCCAACCCCCTCAGGCAGGAACCCTACACCATTTCAGACAAATGGCTCTCCAGTCTCTCCTTAAAAACCTCCAATGTTGGAGCATTCACAACTTCTGGAGGCAAGGAGTTCCACTGGTTAATTGTTCTAACTGTCAGGAAGTTTCTCCTTAGTTCTAGGTTTCTCCCTCTTTTTGATTGGACCCACAAGAAATTTGTCTCCGCAAACACAATAATTTCCAACATTGCACATAATTCAAGAAGTTAGTGGTTTGGGTCCCTCGGCCAAATGTCACAATGATTTAAACAAAAAAAAGGGGGGAAATAGAATCCAAAGGGCAACAGCCTTGCCTGTATACAAGGAAGTGCCTTGGAGGCATGACGGGAAATGTAGTTTCCCGGCGCCGAGAGCGTCGCTGTCCGCCACGCCGCCCGCGCCTTGTGGCCAATCCGCGCTTCTTCCACTCCTCGCCCCTTTTCCGCTAGGCCAATAGAACGCGAGGCAAGCGGAGCTCTCAGAAAGCAGCAGCCAATGGGCGAGCGGCGGGCGGGGCTCCCCAGCAGTTGCTCGAACGAGGCTTGGGTAAGTCGAAAAGGCGAGCAACGGGCAGGGGGTGCGTGGGAATTTCCCGGGTCTTGCTTGAAATGGTATCTCCCACCCTGGAGTCTTTGCAAAAGGGGCTACCGAGCATGGGCAGAGCGTCTCCCTCTCGGGAGCACGTCCCCCGAGCATGTGCAGAGTGTCAAAAGACCCGCGGAAGTGAAGGCTTTCTCGCTTTGGGGGTTGCTTAACGCAGCAAACTAATTATAGGACGAATCCTGGTCTTGAGAAATAGTCCCTGGATGGGTCAATCCTTGCTTGATGACTCAATGCAGATTTAGTCTGGAAAGGGTGCAATGGGAGGCTGGGTTTAATTGATTAATTCAATCAATTAAATGGCTGGAAGCTAATCAGTATAATCCCATTTTAATTTTACAGGGCAGAGAGTGCCCGAATCTACGACACGTTAGATAACTTTGCTGCTTCCCAAGCGAGAAAAATAATCCTCATAATGTAGAAACTTCCTGCCACAAGAAAACAGTCCAAGTTTGTTTTTATAAGTAATAATAATAATTAATAAAATAATAATAATATAGTAGTAGTAGTAGGGTCCTTGGTGCTCTCTGAGCTGGGTTATTTTCTTGCAGATGTTTCATAACCCATCTAGGTAACTTCATCAGTGCTAGAAAGGATATTTGCAGCAAAAAAAACAAAACACCACCCATCCCTTCTATCACTGATGATGTAACCTAGCTAGGTCATGAAACGTCTGCAAGAAAACCACCCAGCTCAGAGACCCCCCAAGGATCCCTCATTCCAACCCTGAGCTACAAATAATCTCCTTTATTGGAAATAATAACAATAATAATCCTGCAAGACTTAAATAAAATCCTACAACCGAGAGGTTTGTAACAGATATATTATTTTTTTGGGGGGGGGGGGCTTGTAGGTAACGCAGCTTCAGAACCCCTCCCCCCAAGCTACATTTAGAACTGGCAGCTTCCAAGGGCCGCCCGCTCCTGCGCTGGGATCGTTGCCTCCGCAGGAACGTTGTGCAAGCCGGAGGGCCCCGGGGGCGTCTGCAAGCGATGGCGACCCAGATAGATGGGGGAACTTCGAGAAACAGAGGAGGCACCCCCCAACCTGCCCCCGTGACTGCTGGCATCATTGTCATCGGAGATGAGATTTTAAAGGTATGTGAGCCTTCACACATTGGTGTACGCTTTAGGTCCTCCTGCTTGAGCAGGGGGCTGGACTAGAAGACCTCCAAGGTCCATTCCAGCTCTGTTCTATTCTATTCTATTCTATTCTATTCTATTCTATTCTATTCTATTCTATTCTGCATTCTGTTCTGCATTCTATTCTATTCCGTTCCATTCCATTCCATTCCATTCCAGATTAGAATAGAATAGAATAGAATAGAATAGAATAGAATAGAATAGAATAGAATAGAATATTCTGGATAATGGATTTAACCACTGGGCTCTTCTTTGGCTGAAGAGCATCCTTCTAATAAAATCTTTTTTTTCCCCTCGTTTTCAGGGATACACGCAAGACACCAATTCTTTCTTCATGTGCCGCAAACTCCGCTCTCTGGGGGTGAAGGTGGCCAGGATCTCGGTGGTGCCGGACGAGGTGGAGGCCATCGCCACCGAGGTTAAGTCGTTCGCCAACAGCTTCACTTACGTCTTGACGTCGGGCGGAATCGGCCCCACTCACGACGACGTCACCTTTGAAGCGGTGGCCAAAGCCTTCGGGGAAGAAATCCGTCCCCACCCAGAGATGGTGGAACTCGTTAAGAAGTTTTTCGGCAAGCAGTCCAAGCCGGAAAGCTCCAACATGAAGCTAGCGTGCGTCCCCGAATCGTCTCTCCTCAACTACGGGGTGGACGAGAAGACGGGGCGCACCTTCCCGTATCCGCTGATCAGCGTCCGGAACGTCTACGTTTTCCCCGGCATCCCCTCGTTGATGAAACGGGCCCTAGATGGTCTCGGACACCTTTTCCGAAACGAGAAGACCCAGTTTCACAGCCGGGAGATCTACGTGAACGTCGAAGAAACTCGGATCGCTTCGGCGCTTAGCAAAGCCAACGCCAAATTCTGGCCTCGCACCAACCTGGGCTCGTATCCCGACTGGGTCAGCAACTACCACCGGGTGAAGCTGATCTTGGACTCGGACTCGGAGGCCGATCTGGACGAGCTGCACGCTTTCCTGATGGAGAAGCTGCCCCAAGGGGTGGTGGTGCCCTTGATAGCCGATCCCGTCTCCCGGGCTGCGACGGATGTCTACGGATTGGCTGAGTCCGGTAGGTACCCCTATCCGCCGTAGGGACGTATCTTGAGTCCGGTAGGTACCCCTCCCCGCCGTATGGATGCATCTTGAGTCATAAGTTGAGGACTATTTGCATAAGTCAGCTATCCAGGAGATGTCTTGCCTGGTCAGTTAAAATGATTTTGCTCACCGTACCCTCTTCTTCCTCCCCTGCAGGTTCTCCTCTCGGCCAGAAGGTGGCAGCATCGCTCAGGACCATCGAGGAAAGCTTGGATAACTACAGTCTCTCCAAAATCTGCACTGGGTTTAACGGAGGGAAGGATTGCACCGCCCTTTTGCACCTTTGCTACGCTGCTGTGCAGAAGTGTGTCACTCTCTCTGCTTTCGATACTTCAGGATCAGAATAGAGCTGGAAGGGGCCTTGGAGGTCTTCTAGTCCATCCCCCCTGCTCAAGCAGGAGACCCCATATACCCTTTCAGACGAGTGGCTGTCCAGTCTCTTCTTAAAAACCTCCAGCGTTGAAGCACCCACAACTTCTGGTGGCAGGCTGTTCCACCGGTTAATGGTCCTCCCTGTTAGGAAGTTTCTCCTTAATTCCAGATTGCTTCTCTCCTTGATTAGTTTCCATCCGTTGCTTCTTATCCTACCTTCCGGAAAATAAATGGACCCCCCCCCTCCTCTTTATATTGCTTTATGCTTTTTATACTGCTTTGGCAAGCTCAACCGGTGATACAAAACCAGCCTCCAATATAGTCGTAATTAAACAAACAAAAAAAAAACCAACCCTTACATTTTGGTACGCTTTAAAAAGAAGATACTCGTTTCTAGTCCTCATTGTTGACATCAGGCCTCTATTGCCTGTAAAACTGCAGAGTTCAGTCTTGCTGGAGGTTAATCCAATGCCAGCACATTGACTTATGACCATTTGTTCAGTGACCGAAGTCGCAAAGGCACTGAAAAAAGTGACTTAATGACCGTTCTTCACACTTAACGACCGTTGCAGCATCCGAAGGGTCACGTGATCCAAATTCAGAGGCTCGGCAACCGGTTCCTATTTATGGCAGTTTGCAGCGTCTCGGGGTCTTGTGATCCCCTTTTGCGACATTCTGATAAGCAAAGTGGCTCTCGAAAGAGGCTGTTGCTAATTCTTCCTTTTTAAAAAATAATAATTTTTTTTTTTTGCTTCTCCGTAGACGATATCCAGAGAAGCTGGAGCAGCTGCAAACCCTTTACATCCGCACCGTTCTTCCCTTCCCGGAGATGGAAGAATTTATTCAAGCTACGGCTCAGCGGTAAGGACCAATTCTTCCTTTCCAGGCACCTCTTGATAGCGCCTTGAATTTCATCCCCGAAGCCAGCTGGGTAAAAAAAAAAAAAATCGGTACAAAAGTGATTCGTGCCAGCCACTTTCTCTCAGCCCCGGGAAGGAGGCAATGGCAAACCTCTTCTGAAAACAAACAGACAGACAGGACCCATCCAAGCAGTGTCCAAGAATCAGAGGCAATTCAAATAAATGGTCCATCGGTCCCACCCACCCATCCACCAGCTGGAGAGGGCCAGCCAATTCCCAATTCTCGTTTGAATCTCCCCCGTGATTTTTCCCGCAGGTACAACCTGCGCATCTGCGTGGTTCACGGGAACATCAAGGAGGCCCTGGGGATCCTGAAGAGTCAGCAGCCGGATCTGGAGGCCGTTTTCATGGGCACCCGTCGGACGGACCCCTATTCCTGCACCCTCAAGCCCTTCAGTATGACGGACCCCGAATGGCCGCAGTTTATGCGAGTCAGCCCTCTGCTGGTGGGTCCCGCACAGACCTCGTTTGGGGATGCTTTTCCGATCAAATATTTATTGCCAGAGAGTCCTTGACTTACGAAACAGGTCCTTTAGTGCCCGAAGTTGCAACGGCATCGAAAAAAGGAACTTAGGATTGTTTTTCACACTTACGACCGTCCCCACGGTCACATGTTTCAAATTTCGGACGCTTGGCAACTGACTTGTATTTATGACAGTTGCAGCCTCACCCCCTAATGTGAATCTTTCTTGCTAAAACACACTTGGTTGGTTCTTGGGAGGTGTGACTTTTGTATAGGTGTCTCCGTGTGTGTCAAATATCCCTTAATTCTCTTTCCCCCCCCCTCTGTTGCTCAGGACTGGACGTATCACGATATATGGAATTTCCTTCGCAGCCTTTACATCCCCTACTGCATTCTATATGACAAGGGGTAGGTGCAATAATGTCCCGAATTTTTATCTTTTATGTGTGTGTGTGTGTGTGTGTGTGTGTGTGTGTGTGTGTATATAATTTTTATAGGATTAGGGATAGGGTCAGGGTTAGGGTTGGGGTTAGGGTTAGGATTTTTTAAAATAACATTCTTAATATTTAGCAAACAGCATGTTGTCTGCGTTCATGTAATTAAAAAAACAATGAATAATAATTATGATAAAACAACATTAATCGCTCAATAGTCTTTTTCTTACTAATACATATTCAATGTTACATATCACATTCCTTTCTAACTCGTTTTTCTAGCCGTTGATAAAAATTATCCCATGTTCTAAAATACACTGAGTCTTCTTTCTCTTTTCTCTTTAATATCAAATGTAATGTCAAATTTTTATCTTATGGAGGGGGGGAAAATGTGATTACGGGTGTATTTGCGCTAGGGAATATTCAAGATTTAAAAGGCCAGACATGTTTAAAATTTGGGGTGGGGGGTTAGGGGGAAGAGGAGAGAGAGAAAAAAGTGACTTGTGACTGTTTTTCACACCTAACCATTGCAGCCTATCCCTGGTCACGTGATCAAAATTCAGACACTTGGCAACTGACTTGTATTTATGACGGTCGCAGTGTCCTGGGATCACGTGATCCCCTTTTGCGAATTTCTGACCAGCCAATGGGGAAGCTTAGCAGCAAGAACCTCTGTGGTCGTAAGCCGAGGACTGCCCGTTTATCACAAAGCTGATTAACTCCGGATTGATAATGTGTTGTTTTGTTTGTTTGTTTGTTTGTTTGTTGTCTTGCTGGCTTCGCATCTCGGCAGCTACACCTCGCTGGGCAGCATGACCAACACGCAAAAAAACCAGGCGTTGCGTTACACAGACCCACAAGGCCGGGAGTCCTACCGGCCGGCTTACGAGTTGGAAGACGAAAAAGAAGAACGCCTCTCCCGCCATTGAGCCTCGGTCGCGCCTGTAAGCCAACAATGCTGGTTTAAGCAAGACCCTTCCCACCCACCGCCCCAAAAAAGGAACTTAAGTTTCAAAGCAGGCTTGTTAGCGTCATAAAATGGAATTCATGGGTGACACAGCCATCCTGGGATTTGTGTAGTCCTGTTGGCATCGGTCAGGCTGATCATACAGGGCAAGTATATTGGTTCTCTGACCTTGTCTGTTTTTTGTGTTGGAATAAAAAACAGGGTTGTTTTTTTTCCAATTCTCACCAACGTTCCCCTGTCCTCATTTTACTGTGATTGAGGAAAGTCAAAGGGATGATTATTATTATTATTATTATTATTATTATTATTATTATTATTATTATTATTATTATTATTATTATTATTACGCAGATCTGAATAATGATGATGATGATGATGATGTTGGGACCTTGGAGGTCATCTAGTCCAACCCCCTACTTAGGCAGGAACAAGTGCATCAAAATTCACAAAAACAGCAGATTAAAAAAAGTCTTATCAAAACATAAAACACCAGCAGAGTAGGGAGTTCTTTTAAAAACACACCACACCAGCGGCAACAAACATAAAAAAGGATGTCCGAAAATCAAATTACTGTCCCAGTGGTTACTCAACCTACAGCGGATATCTAGGGCCGAAGGGATGATTTGAATTCATAGCCGGAGCCAGAGAGCTGCACCCAGAGAGCAGCTTTTTTGCGCAAATCCACTTTGCCAAGTTTTCAGATAGCTGGACTTCCAACTCCCAGAATTCCCCAGCCCAGCCTGGGGATGGGGATGGGGTGGGGTTTCTTTCCCACTACCCGCCGGGAGGAATAGGAGCAGAGCCTCCCCGTCCAAGAGCAGTCTACCTGGGTCAGGCAGCGCAGGCAATCTTAGCGCCCCAGGAGGCGGCTGGCTTGGCGGCGGTTGGAAACAGGATGCTGGGCTTCCTTTGAGCTTCTCCGCGGGGGCTGTTTATTCGCCCCCCCCTCCTTCCCCAATTCCCCCACTCCCATGGCCAAGCCGCTTCCCCATTCCTGACTCCGGCGTCGCGACTCCTAGGCCCCCGCTTTTTTTCTGCAAGCAGTTTCCTGCTTCTCTTGATAAAGATCCTGTCCGCCTCCAGCCGAGCGCAGCCCGACTGGGGCCGGCGCCAGGGGTCACCGTGTGGCCAGCACTCCCCCTCGGGCTGCTAAGGACCGAGCCAGGCTGGGGAGTCCCTCCCCACTTCCCTCTCCTCCTGTCCCCTCCCCCCCAAGAGCCACCTTTCTCCGGGGAGGGGGGGGGGCTCAGAGCAAAGTTGGGTGGGTGACGCTCCTTGGATACTCCGGGCGCGCCGTGCGTTTTGGAGAGCTGGGGCGCATTGCGCGCAGAGATGCTTTGGCTTTGGCAATGGGGGGAGGAGGGAGGAGGGCGCTGATTTGGCTGGGAGGGGGGAAGCTAAGGAGAACAAACCCCCCTCCCCCTGGCGCCAAGCGCCGCTGGCTGGGTCCTGGGATCCAGAATCGCGCGGCGCCAGCGCAATCTCTCCTATCTCTCTGGGGGAAGTTGGAAGAGGAAGCCGGGAAGATAGCGCGGGTCGCAGCCGCGGAGCGGACGCCCTGGCTTCTTAAAGGGACAGCCTTCCTGATCTTTGGCAAGAGACCCCCTCCCACTCCTACCCTTTGGCAGGAGAGACCCCACTAGAAGACCCCACGTTTAGGGTAGGAGGGAAAAAAAAAACCCTGGCAAACTCAGCTGGATTCCTGTCTCCTTGCAGAAAAGGGGAAATTGTGGCAGGTGCTGTCCCAAGGACCTTTTGGTTCTACCTGGGTCAAAACAGAAAGGGGGTGACCTTGAGAACTAGAAACCTGGCTTGGCTGGCCAAACGATTCCTGGGTTCAAAGAGAGCTAGGAAAGGTTTGGAAACGGTGGCCTGTGCCCCCTTATTATCCATTTCTGTAATAAGAAGAGACGGGATGCCTCTTTAGGGCTGCCTAATGGGGGGGGGGGGTTTGCGGGCTTTGATTCTTCCCCTTCGGGGGGGGGGAGGTGAGATGGGCAAGTGAGAACAAACCAGGATAAAGAGAAAAAGCTGGCTTGCTATCAGCCCAGAAACACAGACCCTGCTTGTTTGTTCTTTTCAAGATCAGCCAGATTTCCAAAAGGGGTCAGCAGCTGGAATCCGAAGCCTCCATCCCTGCCCTAAAGTTTACCCCAAGGGCTTGGCCTTCAATACTGACTCTGTGCCATGGCACTCACACAACCCCTGAATGGCCACACATAAACACACCGGGCAAGACTGCAGAACGCGTATATCCACTGCTAGCTGGATTTGGGTGCCCCAGAATTAAGGGGGATGGGGGGGGGAGGAAGCTTAAGGGGACCCAATCCCAGCTTGTTTGTTGGTGCAAATCCAGACCTGGGCTCCTTCCATCCAGCATATTCAGCCCTGACCTCAGCTCAGTCAAGCACGGCTGGACTCGAACCCAGCACCAACGTCAAAGCTGGGATGCAAAAGGAAGAAGACCCCAGCCTTGCCCCTCGGCAGGCCCCGGGCTAACTGCCCCCACCCCTTCAAACCAAAGAATTGGGGGGAGGGTGGTTTGGCAAGCCTGGTCAAAGTGGGGAGAAAAATGCCCGTTGCTGCTTCTGTTTTGGGGTGCCAAGCCCTGAAATGGCCTCAGATTTTGGTTGCTGTCCCCCAACACTGCGTGAGTAACCAAGATCTCCCCCAGGCAAACCGAGGTTACTCCAGCCCCCCTCCCCATTTCCTCTCCCTCCCCCAGAGGCAGGGCCAGGGGAAGGAGA